CCAGTGTCAGTGCTGGTGTCTGGATGGATGCCACTGGGGGTGAGGGCACCTGCAAGCCGAGAGGAAGAACAGAAATCATCCTCTGCTTTTTCTGTCTTGTTTCTTTGTTACTTTTAAAGAGAAGCGTAAATAAGATAAACTGAATCTTCCCTACTGAAATTTCAGTAATGAAACCGTTTTTAAAGTGTTCACATCTTATATTCTGCCTTTAACTGTCTTTTCAACAAAGCATCATATTTATTAAATGTTAATTAACTCAGTTAATTAACTACCTGTTGAAACCTATTAAAGAACATGAAATGCACTATCTAAAAGTACCACGCCTGTAGTGACTACCTTATTTGTCTTGACGGCAGTGCAGTCAGCCCCCACCATCCCGTGGCCCTGAGCTCCTGATGCTGGAAAGAGATCACGCTGCCGCCGCAGATGGAGAGAAAAGGTGAAAGCATTTTCTGAAATCTACAGCACTGACAAAACATGACTGACAAATCCCAGGTTCCTTTGACGCTATCATTTTCTGTTTCTGGACAACACCCGTCAATGAGCAGAATCACCCTATTCCCGAGCCATGGGACTCATGTGGGAAGCAGTTTTGGAGAAATTTCCAGGTATAGAATGTAACCAACTATACATAGAACTCTGAAAAAGAAAAGATGCAATATTCTGATTTTGGAAGGCACTCAAAATATTCTCCTAAACATTAGTAGCTGGAAAGGCTGGGTTTCTCCTAAGCCACTTATTTATTTCACAGCCAGTGAGCATATCCTACAAATCCTGCTTCCCTGTGTCTGCTGGGAGCCTCAGGCACACTGCTGCTGTCGATCTTATAAGTCACAAGGCAGAGGAGTGTGTCTCACGCCTGCAACCCTCACACAGGCTCACCTCCTAGCCTCACTGTCTGAACTTGACCCCATTTTCTCACCTGTTTATTTGGTATCTGTTCTTCTGTAAGCTGCCTGAAATGCTATTTGGAACAAGTCAGAATAATGAGTGGGTAGATAAATGGACAGATGGACAGGTGAGAGATTGGAAGACAAACAGAGACTCCAAGAAAAGGGGAACAAAGAAAATTTCCTATGCAAAACCCTCTTCTAGTCAGGGAAGAAAACCACCATGGAGAATTGTGAAGAGGTAGGTAGCTTAGGACTGTTTCCTGGATTCCATGAAAAGTCACACCAAGAGATGAGAGGGTAGAACTATAAATAATAAAAGAAAAAAGCATGCATGCTTGAAAAATATATCTACAATATGTACTTTCTAAAGAATAGATTCAAATCAGCACGGCCCAATAACACAATCTTTGGGTAATTACAGAAGTGAGAATCCCATCTCCAAACCACAAGGCATCCCTTCGGAGCACTGACAGTCTACACGGGGCGGGCATAAAGCCGTCACCGC